ATAAGCGGCGGCGAAAACACTTTAAAGAGGGTCCCTACACTAAACCAAGTGCAACATTACTAGAACAACTATGCCCTCCTATATACTATAAGATAGTAGCCTCCACTTTCTTGTCCGTTATCCAGATGGATCCCTGACAGGATGGCAAGATGAAGATGCTCTATCTCCATGGTGGCGGCGTCAACCTGAAGGTAGCACAATTACAGCGCCCTGGCCCCAAAAGACTAGTCGCCTTGGCCTTGTGTGCGCAGTGTGAAGTCTGGCGGTCGGCACTTGTATGTGTGTGTGTTTTTTTTGTTTTTTTTTGTGTGGCTTGTAGTGCTAGACCCTAAACCGTAAACCCAAGCCCCAAGCAACAACTATATCCGAAGTAGAGTGTGTAGTTTGATGCTTCTTCTGCCTTGTGCATCGATGGGATGTTCAGCTGAAGGCATCCTGGATGTAAGTCAAGTACAGGACGACCTTGTATAAGCCTTATGTTACGTCTGTTATAGAATTCGTATGGCCCTTACATACCCTTTAAACCCCTCATATAAGGTCCCCCATAGGGAGCTCCTCCTAGAAGCTGGTACTGACTGGATCTGAGGACTAGCAATCTGCTTCGCGACCTTCCCATGCGAAAGGACTGATGCCTGAAAACATGTATCTATAGGGCCCCTTACGTAGATGGAATATAGAATTCCGCAAAACCATAGTGAGAGCCCCGTCTATCCCATACTCTGACAATTATTCATCTTATGATCCTAGATATCTTGCATGGTTTCGACCCCAAAATGAGATTGTTTAGGCTCCTACGTTACCAGAGTGTGTGCCAGAAATCAGGATGAGAGTCCTGGCCGAGGTGGTTCAGGGTTTCAAAGTTTAGTATCAGCTGGAGTTCTACTGCCGGACTACTATAGAGCGATGTAAGGAAGTTGCAGCAGAGTGATAGCCCCTATAAGCCCCAAGCCCTATACCTCATGATGTTCTTTTCATGCAGTGTGGGGACATCCCTCAGTGATACAGAATCATTCTGTTGATGCTAACAATCCTGCATGACCTTGCTGTTTCTGTAGTACTATAGCGCCCAAGGTATTAGGAACTTAGGGTCATCCAGATTTTTTTAGTACTGCTGTGTAGTGGTCTTGTGTTTCTGGTGGGGGATGAGTTTGCCCTTCTTATTCCGATTGTAATGTACCCGCTGTCAGCGCCATGTCAGAGCGCTGCCTCTACGCTGCCTGAGTTCTTTGCTTCCTCAGAATGCACCATTAAGGAACATGGGAATTCGCTTTCCCCCTCCGCCCAACCTTTCTGCCCTTCCCTCAAGAGCATCCGCATATTTGTGCGACAGATTCTCCCGGAGCTGCGCAGCAGACGTGCACGTACTCAAGCCTCCCCTACACATTTGCAATCACTTTGAAGTCTGCAACCCGAAGCCTTAGACCCTAAATCCTAAATCCCTAAACCCCCAAGCCCTAAACCCTAGACCCTGAGGACATTGAATGGGTTCATTGGACTGGGCCGTGTCTTGTCAAAATGGTACTGTTGATACTAAAAACCCTGCATGACCTTAATATACTATAGTACCATAATTCCCACTATATAATGTACCTAGGGTCATGCAGGATATGTTGTATCCGCCGTAGTTTCCATTAACAGGGGGAGCCCCGGAAGATTAGAAGCCGACCCCTGGGATGCCGCGGACGGTAATTTAGGGTTTAGGGTTTAGGGTTTAGGGTTCAGGGTTTAGGGTTTAGGGTTTAGGGTTTAGGGTTACCCGGAATCTAGGGAAACCCCAATCGATATCAACCCCCATAGAAATGCTTAGGGTGTAGGGTTTAGAGTTTAGGGTTTGGGTTTAGGGTTTAGGTTGATGGAGGAATTCTTGCAACACTTAGAGCCCCTACACTACCGTACTTCCTAGGACTTTAGGGACTTAAGGTGGTGTAGGATGTCATCCATCAACAGTATCAACCCCCATAGAAACCTTTTTGATATTACAATTTTGGGAAACCCTAAATATTCATAATAAAGAACCACATATATCCATAAGCCCTAAGTCAAAAACCCTGTAAACGGATTCCTCATTTTGGGCAACCTCCCAACGTGCTACTACTTCCTCAGCTGCTCTCGATTTTTTGTGTTGGTTTAGGGTTTAGGATTTAAGGTTGAGGGTTTAGGGTTCAGGGTATTTGGGGGTTTAGGGGTGTTATGACTTGGGCGGGGGACGTTCGGCTGGCTTCCTCTGCCTTACTGGGGCTTGGTAGGGAATAAGGGAGTATCTTATATAGGTATAGGAATATTAGCGTTGAGGGAATAAGAGTTTAGGCTTTACTGTAGGGTTTAGGGTTGGTATGGAGTAGGGGAGTATCTTATGGGGACTATATTCCCTGTGTACTCCCTGCCTACTAACCCTCAGCTACCCCGGAGTAAGCTGATCATCGTCTTCCTCGCACCTGAGAGAGCCCTTTCTGTCAGACTTGTGGAACAGGTAACCCAGACCCGTGATTAACAAACCCCCTCCCCTGGATAGGGATTAGAATAGGGATCCTAAAATAATCGGCATTTAGAGGGAGGGGGTTTACTAATCAGGGGTCTACATTATCCTGAAGTGCGGAGCTTTAGGGTTAACCCTTATATAAGCCAACCCTTATATAAGCCTATATAACCCAATATAGTAGTTTCCATTTTATTTTCCATTATCCTCATATAACAACGCCACCAATCACAAAAAAGGGCCTGGGCTTTGTACGGTCCCCCCAGTATAGACCCCAATATACTATAATCCTTATTTTGGGACCCCCACAAAGGTACCAGGGGCTCCCTAAAAACCCTAAACCTTAGGGTTTAGGGAGCCCCGGACGCTAACTGCAGCCTTCAGGCACGCAGTGCCGTACGGCTGGAACGGCGACTTTACGCTCGAGGCCTTTGGGCCTGACTTTACGGCCCCTTGGCTGCACAGAGGCTGCTGACGCTGCGTATGGTACGATCACTAAAAAAAGAGTGAAGTTGCTAAACATTGGTGCCCCCACTCATAAACTACAGTTGGATGATATTCATAATATAAATATATATATATAGCCCTTAATA